TGCGGCTAAAGTTGACCAGCTGTCATGCTTGATGATATCTCAAATTGTACCTCAGTTATTTTGGCATCAAATTACAACTCCTAATTTGTATCACACCCATAAAAAATAACAAGAGAAAAGTTTTCCGACACACCTGCAAAGGGCGCATTTACGGACTACCCCATCAAAAAGCGCCCATGCCTCTCATGTAAAAGCGCCCTATTAAAAACAACGGTTTGCCACCTAACTAAGTAGCCTATTTGGACGTGTCAGCCCATTAAACATTTATGCTGTAAAGGCTAAGGTAATGGTAAGGTGAGCGCTCTAATATTCAAAGTGTTCAATGAAATGTGTCCCAACCACAAGATGCTGAACTCTGGGCTGAAGAATAGGGCGCAAATAGGGTGGACGCAATTACGGTTGGAACACATTTTTCATGAGCTTCAAATATGGCAAGGACAGGAAGCCACGGTGATGATAAACTTTCAAAACTACCATTAACCCTATTAGTGGCAGGGGGGGTTGTTTTTATCCACCCCTCAGGTTTTTCGGGAATATCTCCAAAACCACTGAAGCTACGATGCTGAAATTTTCAGACTTTTCCTAAAACTAAATTGGGCACATTCCCTTAAAATTTCAAGTTCATAACTTTACCAGGGGCGGCTCCAGAGCACTGGGAATTGGGGGTCCTATTCGTGAAGCGAGTCATTTGGGCGAAGATCACGATGCTGCACCAGTTTTACGAACAGTGAATGAAAGGTATCATGTGATAACATATACAAAGTCATTGTGCATCCTCTTTTGACACATTTTTGCTATAATAGGCGGATCCAGGCGTCCAAAAAGGGGGGTTATTTTTTACCTCCCAACATAGGTGCCCTGACACCGCCTATGCATGACCAATACAATTTTAGTCGTTCTCTCATAAGAAAATTGTAACATAACAAGACCATTGCCACCCTTTCTAGAAACAGTACCAACAAAAACCTTATTTACTATACTTTTTGTGTACCCCCAATCTCAATGATCTGTATCCGCCTATGATTTTTGAAAATGCATATTTTTAGGATCCATGTGAATTCCTGGTTCATTCTCTATCGATCGGCAAAAGTTGCGTTAAGATTGGTTCAGAAACCTGGCCGTGATAAACAGTTTAAAATGTATCTGCAATTTGCCCGTTTTTACCCCCCCTCTACCCCCTATTGACATTTTTTAATTTTATCTTTTTTAGAAATGTAGATCTCGTTGAGCCAAATCGATTGCCGTTTGAATTTTGAAAATCGGCCGGTTAGATCTCGAGATATCAAGGGGGGGTCGTAAACAGCCCCCCCCCCCTGCCACTAATATGGGGTAGCCAGGAGCCTGCCACTTATAGGGTTAACCCGGCACCGCCTGGGCTATTTCCGTACCCACGACAGCCTGGGGGGTCGGATCCGACCCCCCCCCCTGTTATCTCGAGAACCAATGGTCGTATCGAGCCCCGCGAGGCAGCGTTCGAAAGGTCTCTACGAGACCTTCCCAAAGCACTCTTAAGATTTTAAGATTGAGGTCAACTTTCGGGTCAAGGTCAGGTCAAAGGTCAAATTCAGGGGTTTTGCATGATTATTCTTACGGACAGCGGAATCGATAGCTGCTGCTCGAAACTCACCAAAAATGACCTCAAAGGCCTAGTGAAGGTACCATGTGCGTATAGGGGTCATACTAAGTACGGGTCAAGGTCAGGTCAGGTCACGAAAGGTCACGGTTTTCAATTTCTGTTACATGGGCGTGCGACACATGTTTTATGGCTTATTTTTCACGCCGAATCCGATGGTAATGGTTTTATGTGACCCCAAGTCACTGTGCTGGTGATAAGTGTGCATTGAAAGCATAAAAAATCGTTTATACTATACGAGGGCTGAGAAAAAAGGTCAATTTTTCAACTTTTTATTTTTGACATAAAAATGCACTTTTCTAGACGAGCTTTGTCCCAGGAATCTAGTGGTGCCATTTGTTTTCACATGCGATGTTCAGAAGTGCCTCTAATTCACGAAAATGCTTATGACGTCACCATGCCCTATGCATGTTGGAGCTATTTTTTACAATTTGGGGGTCAAAAATCAAGATAGAAAGTTGAAATTTGGGGCATCTAATGTTCTAATAGAGCTCTACAACATATATTCCGGTTTTTTGGAAATTTTCAAAATTTTGGATTTTATTAGCTGTTTTCCAAAAAATATAGTTTTTTGAGTTTTTAGGGGTGAAAAACGCATTTTATGGATAATCCGAGATAGCCATTTTAAAGAACTCGTTGAGCTGCGTCTTTTCATGTCCTTAATTTGCAATTTGCTTAAAACCCTGATTTTTGGCGATTTTTTAAACATTTACCACTTTTTGACTAAAAACGCCATGTAGTTACATCACTAAAATCGATATATCTCAAATATTTTTGAAAATTTTTTCTTAAAAATTGCACAGGAGACGTCAAATTGATAGGGGAGAAGGTATGCCAAGTTTCAAGTAGATAGCGAAAGTGGTTCATGAGTTATTCAAGAAAAACGGAGGGGGGGGGTCGGATCCGACCCCCCCAGGCGGTCGCGGGTTAAACGAGCAATTAACAATGATTATTAGTTGAATCACTATCTCTAAGATAAACCAAGACACTAGCAAAGGTCGAAATAGACTGTTTCGCGTAAGAAAATAGAGGAAATCACAAAAAATGGTCTGTGAGAAAGCTGAGACACCTCACCTGCCCCCGTGGACCGGAATAAGAGCGAGTTATTGGTGGTGAAGTAAATGCACACATTCGAGAATTCATTCGAATCGAATTTTGGACAGGAGGAAGGTGTGGCGTATTTAAGAACATGGCGCAATATGACCTCTCTCCCCGACATATCGTCGTCAGCAATAGTATGTTGTCAAATCTATTCGGTTGAATAAAATCGTTCAGAGTTGATTTCATACGAATCCAATCGATTTGATACGACCGATTAGATTTTGTGACACGATTGCTGATGACGACATGTAAATACGTGCGGGATATAATGCCCCGAACTGGCCAACATTATGCAGATTGCAGGACGTCTGTCGAAAGCTGGAACAATACGATCGAGACTAAACGGCTAACTTGCAGAAGATGGTACGAATTCAAGGCATGTTTCTTTAATTGGGCGGAAATTACAATTACAAGCTACTCGACCTTCAAAGACCTAGTTATGTTTTATTTCTTACACCTTCTACAAAGAGAGTTTACTTTTCACCATGACAGCTCTCCGAACTCTCTCAGCCCCCACAGCCACCCCTGCCAAGGCCTCGTCTAACATGTTAACTGGGGGGGCCAAACCCCCGCAGTCATCGGCCTGGCCCCCCCAGTCAGGGCAGAAAGTCACTACTGGGGGGGCCGGCAAAAGTCAAAAGGTAAACGAATTTTTAGTTCGAGGCGTCAGTGCACATAAAAGCAAATATGTAAACGAAACATGGATGCAATGTGAGCACATTGATGCCTACCCGATTGCTTATAGGCCTGTTATCAAGTGTTTATTTTGTTTACCTGACCTTAACCATTTTTGTTCGCTCAGCAATACGTTACATTTCGTCTTTTTATTCTTTTTTTTTATAAATTTAGTCCGAACCTTTTGAATGGAAGGATTCACAAGCAGAGCTTGTTGCGTTGGCCCTGCCCTCTACCCTCCGATCGCGCAATTCCTGATCTATGGCAGAATTTAGAGCCCAAAGTTTTACGTATGCACATAGCCGCGCAAGGCCGGTCCCCTCACTGACTTCGACTGGTTACGGCCTGCCACCAACCGCAACCATACTCGCCAGGAGGCTCATAAACATCAAGCGACTTTGTCGCGCTTCGAACCCGGACTGTTATAACCGGGACGCGTGCCCTCACCACGCGGAGTCCAACGCTCTACCGACAAATTCTCCTTTAAGTATCAATCTGTTGTTTCTGTCCTCGGGGCGTCAATCTCTTGTTTTTGCCTATCGTCGTCCTCACTATGCGGCGTCCAACTTCTGGCTGGACGGTCACCGGTGTGCGGCTAGAGTAGCTCCTAATCGTAATGAAGCAGGATCCCGTGGTGGTCGTACGTAGGCGCAGATTGGTGGTCTGTCTGTGGGGACGGGAACTGACAGCTGGATTATCTAAAGAAGTCGGCGTGGAGTCCCGGAGGGCAAATACCAGCCACTTAGGGTCCCGACGGGCCTCGCCTCAAATTGCACTACTACACGGGAAAATCTTGTTGCGCAACCATACAAATTTTTACATTTTTACATACATAAAAATTTTTGTTTAGTTTATAGCCTCTGACGACCTTAAGGCTGTGTCGGAGATCCACGGCGATTACGGAGAATCCACCTGAGAAGCCATCAGTCTCCAAGTCGATAAAGTTGATACACCGGCATTACACTGTTCTGAGGGAGCCCTACGTGGGAAAATACGGTCTCCACTCAGATTGACCCTTAAAGCCTGGTATGAATCATATAAAACCAGTGTGGGCTACCATAGAGGAAGACGTGAGTCCAGAAGCTGGCATAAGCCCTCAGAGCTCGGCATCGAGCGCTGAGAAGTCGGCGGGGTCCATCAGAAACCGATGTGGTTGGCAAAAAAATATATGCGTGTGGGCCCTCGACATAAGGCTCGGCATGTAAATTCCTTAGATAAGGCACTGTCACTCAAACAAAAGCTCAACACCACTCAAACAAACGCTCAACACCACTCAAACAAACGCTCAACACCACTCAAACAAACGCTCAACACCGAGAAGTGTGATTATTACTGTCTGATGGGGCAATGTGAGGAGGCTGCAAAGTAATATAAAAGCATGGGTCGGATTGCCTACTATTTTCTTCTTTTTTTTTTGTTTGTTAAAAAAATGTTCATGGTGTCAGGGCTGTGATGAAAAATAAGTGGTCTAAATCCGGCGAGAAAACAGGATTTGGGGTACCCTAGGTTTGGCTCCTTAAGTCTCTGGCCCCCCCCCCCCAGTGAAAATTCCTTAGACGAGGCCCTGACCCCTGCTGCCTCCCAGTCTCACCCCTGGGGACGGCCGGATGGCGCCGCTCGCCGGCGGACCTCCTGCCGCAGATCCTCCACCACGGTCTGGCGAGTGGTCCGCTCCTCGACCACTGCCTGCTCCAGGCGGACCACCGCACCGTGAAGTGCGGCGTTCTCCGCCTTGAGCTTCTGCGTGTCCGAATGGTCCTTCGCCACTACCTCACTCAGAATGGTCACCTTTTCACGAAGGGGGACCACCACTTCCCGAAGGGCGGACATCTCTTCACGAAGGGCAGCCACCACTTCACGAAGGGCGGACACCTCCCGGCGAAGAGCGACCAGGTCTTCACGCACATCTGTCATCTCCATCTGGAACACAGAATTACAGTTTTTTTACGTTTCTACTAATCATATAAAGGTGACATAGTACGTAGTGTTACGTCGTACGCATTACGACATGTCGCGCAGCGTCGTGTCTAATCACGTCACAAAACGACATGTCATTACGTATTACGACATGTTTTGTCATGTAACCCGCATTGCTGCATACCGGACAAACAAGCTTGGCAGGCACGCAAACTGGTAACCACTATAGAAACTTTCTATCGTTATTAGTTTTTCGCAAAAAAAAATGAGATAATAAAGAAACGTTATTACTACGCATGTTTACCCTTGGCCGGGCCTTTTTCATAATGCGGACGGTGAGGGTAGAGGGGCTGGTACGACCTCTGGCGGTTACCTCCTAATGCACTGAGAAACACCAGATGTATAGGGTGTTTAGGATGGATAGGATGTATAGGATACAGACAGTCACACAGCAGGACTGACACAGTCACACAGACAGTCACACAGCAGGACCTCGGCTAAGGAATTTCGACTGGGCAGATGGGGACAAACCCGACTCCACAATGTCATAATATACCACCTAATATACACCGTATAAGCGGACCTTTACACCACACCTAACATACATACCATATACCGTAGGTAAAGGTATACCAAAATCCTGCCTAATCAGTTAAGCATCCGTAAACATGTCTAAACAAACTTCTACCAAAGGTTTGGAGGTCAGCGTAGGGCCCTCAGAAGCCGAAGTCGAGCCGTCGGAGGCTAGCATGGTCATTTAGAGTCCGCTTTGGGACCTTCGTGGGGCCCAAAGAAGCCAGTGCGTAGCCCTTTAGACCAGCGTGGGGTAATATAAGGGCAGCGTGGGTTCCTCTAAGACCAGCGGCGTGGGGTCTTCTGAGGCCAGATTGGGGCCCACTGGGAACAGCTCAGCTTGGGGCTATCTAAGGACAATGTAGGCCCTCTTAGGTTAACGTGGGGCCCTCTGTCCTCTGAAGTCTAAGGTTGGCGCTGGGCCCTCGGAGGCTGGCGTTGGACCATCAGAGGCCACCTCGAGGGCCTCGACGGTCAGACTGTAGCCCTTATGCATGTTTAACCCTCGAGGCGCTGAGGGGGGCATAACGTTGCCCCCCCCCCTTTACGTTCTGCGGAATATCTCCGAAACCTGATAAGCTACGAACGTGAAACTCAACGTAGCTTCAAATGAATACCTAGGCAATGTTTGAGCAAAATTTAGTGGTTGTAGCACTTAACCCGCGCCCCACTGGGGTCTGCGTATAACACGCCCTACTGGGGGGCTCTCCATAGCCCCCCTCCTAACTCCAAAATTACTGGGCCGATCGTCAAAATTTTAAGGAAAACTACATTTAAGGAAAACTTGATCATAATCTTATACTGCGGCAATTGTAGTTCTGCTTACGGTTGCCTCTTTATGATACGGGCCACCACCACCTCCACTGCGCTGGAGCTCAGGCGTTCTACACCTCCCCGCTACGGACCGGCCCTCGGGCTAGGTGTGTTAGTACTGAGAGCAAACCTGTAGTAGTCACGTGACTTTCATTCACGTAGCGGGAACGGAAGCTATAGGCGATACCAAGGATGAGCTCTGGGGAGGCAACCGGCGTGGAAAAATAGCACGATTGTAGTTTTGGAAGAATATCTGTGGCGGTAAGAGGAATTAGACAAAACCTACGTCCTAGGAGCAAACATGTGGTATTCCTCCATACTTTGCGCTACATTTCCTTTCTCCAAATGCCAGCGCTTAGCAAATAATAGCGCAATTCTAACTTGGTAATATATGTGTACAGTAGCAACTGCGGGTCCCTGTACCTACCTGATTGCTGCGTGCTCTAAAGTTAATTTGTTTTGTAGTTACCAATTTCAGTTAAACGATTTGATTCAACTCCTGATTTCAGGGATTTGTAAAATAAATTGAATCATTTCATGACTTGACCCAACCACATTTTTGGTTTGATTGATTCAAGGCATGACTCAAAGGTACTGAGTTTGTTTAATAATTTGCGGAATGAATTGTCTTATGATTCAAATATCAAGCATCTTTACCTTAAGTTTATTAATCACATGTAAATCACTTCGACTCATGACTGATTCAGGCCTCAGCGGGAAAGCGAATTGATTCAACATATGACTCAAGTTTCATTGAGTCGATTCAACCTTTGACTTAAACTGCTTATGCATATGTGAATCGAATCGACTCATGACTCATTCTGATCTCAAAGTTTTTGATTCGATTCAACTCATGACTCGAAGAAAATCGACTGATTCTTGAGTCGATTCATGATGCAACTCTGAGTCATATACAACCCTGGACAGCACATCTGTATTGCAGACGCACACCTCCGGCTCACAAACAACTTGAAACAAATGACATATATTTATGTATTGAGCCGGCGCGTCTCTATCCGAAATGGGTTTCCCTTTCACCTTCATCCAATGCCTGTCCAATTCATATGGCTGAGGCGGGAAACCTACTAGGTGAGTTGACTAGTTGAGTTGACTTTCAGGTCAAAAAAGGTCAAATTTTGAAGTTAAAATTTTTCAACAAAAAAGGTGTCTTTTGGATGCAGGTTGAGCTCAGGAACACGATGGTGCTATTAATATTGGTGTACGATGTCACATACGTACTGAAAATTGATTTGAAAAATTAATAATTGTGAATTTTTTTGCAATAATGCGTATAACTTCGCCATTTCTGAAGATATTTAGCTAAAACTTGCTAGAGATGTGAACTGAAAGCCACTTTAACTTGCGAAGGCTTTATTCAACAAACAACGAGGCATGGCACCTGACAAAAGAAAAGCCAGTAAGCATGCGCCGGAAACGGGACAGTAGCCACACCATGCAGCAATCACTCACAACATGCGCAACATGCATCATGCAAAACGGAACAGTTCACCACATTCTCCCCCGCCAACAAAATGCGCAACATGTCACAGATCTAGTCGCTTTGGGGCTCGTCTTTCACGCATCGAGCGCCGCGGCGGTACGCGAGTCTCCACATCAACATTCGGACGAACGCGAGACTCCACATCAACATTCGGACGAAGAGCCGACGTGTCGCCGGCCTCGTTAGTTCCGAGGGAAGCGTCAGGTGGGTCCACGATAAGCTCACGGGGCTGAGACTGGTCGTCACAATCAGCTGGGATCAACTCGGGGTCCTGCGACGGTTCACATGCGATACCCGGCTGGAGTACGGCATCCTCATCACGACCGCGAACAGGAATATCACCCGGCGGAGCAAGATCACGAACAGACACAGTTGTTTCCTGACCGCTAGGTAGCCTCACATGTGCATACCGTGGGTTGACATCGAGAACATCGACTTCATCGACCAACGGCTCGTACTTTGAACGGCGGACATGTCGTTTTAGCAGCACTTTCCCCGGCGCAGCTAGCCAAGAGGGAACAGAGTGGCCACTCGCTGAACGCCTCTGGAAGGCGAACATACGCTCGTGCGGAGTAGAGTTGGTGGCAGTACAAAGCAGCGTTCGGATGGAATGAAGCACATCGGTAAGTACACTCTCCCAGTGAGTAATCGACAGTTTTCGAGTTTTCAGAGCGAGTGTAATGGACTGCCAGATCACTCCATTGTATCGCTCGCATTGGCCGTTTCCCTGGGGATTGTACGGGGTGGTCCTGCTGACCACTACTCCCCGACTTGTGAGAAAGTCTCTGAGTTCGGAGGACATGAATGACGCGCCGCGATCGGAATGAACAAAAGCTGGCATCCCGAACACCGAAAACAACTCACAAAGACGCGCGATCACAGTCTCGGTCGACATATCTGCACAGGGGAAGGCAAAAGGAAATCGTGAGTACTCATCTATGACTGTCAGAAGATATCGGTTGCGAGATGAGGTAGGCAGCGGTCCCTTAAAATCAATACTCAGCCGTTCGAATGGACGGGTGGCTTTGATCAGGTGCGAGGCAGGCGGCTTGTAGAACCTGGGTTTACATTCAGCACACACAGGACAAGAGGACGTAACTCTCTTCACGTCATCAATGGAAAATGGGAGGTTCCTACAGCGCACAAAGTGAGCCATTCTCGTCACACCGGGATGACACAAGGCGTTATGTAGCTCGATCAGTTTGTTCGAATCGACTGCCGAGCAGAGGGACATACGAGACAGTGTGTCAGCGGGAATATTGTCCTTGCCAGGCCGATACACGACATCGAAGTCAAAGCAGGACAGTTCCAGCCTCCACCGTTGGATCTTGTCGTTCTTTATCTTCCCCGCGTGCGCTTGGCTGAACATGAAAGCCACAGACTGTTGGTCAGTGATGAGGGTGAAGTGCTTTCCAGCAAGGTAGTGCCTCCACTTCCGAAGAGCATCCACGATGGCATGGGCCTCCTTCTCAACGGCAGCGTACTTCTGCTCACTGGCATTGAGCACCCTGGAGAAGAAAGCCACAGGTCTTCCCGCTTGAGTCAGAGTGGCCGCGAGAGCGACGTCTGATGCGTCAGTTTCCACCACAAATGGAATCGCCTCGTCTATCGACTGGACTACAGACTTTTCTATCTCTTCCTTCATTTTCACAAACGCTTCACGAGCTTCTTTTCCAAGGGGGAAAGATGTCGCTCCAGTCAATGGGCGAATCTTCTAAGAAAATCTGGGAATCCACTGAGAGTAGTATGAAAACATACCAACAGCTCGTCGAAGTGCCATTGTGTCCTGAGGAAGGGGGAGGTTTCGGAGTGGCTCCAGCCTCTCAGGATCGGGCTTTATCTCTCCGTCAGAGATGCAGTACCCCAGGAGCCTGATGGTTGAGACAGAGTACACACATATGTTCTCGTTCAGCGTCAGATTGTAGCGTTTTGCAGCATCCAGAAACCTCTGAAGGTTGACATCATGCTCCTCCTTTGTCCTCCCGCAGACAGTGACGTCATCCAAGTACACGAACGTGTCCTTGAGACAGTTGTCTCGAATGAAGTCGTCCATGGTACGCTGGAAACAGGCCACACCATTGGTCACCCCGAACGGCAGACGACGAAACTGATACAG